GTTTAAATAAATCAATACTGGCGTTCGATATCGTGGTGAAATCGCCCGCTGGAGAATATCAGGCAACTGGTATTAGTTGTATGTTTTCGAGATGTTTTCTTGGGCATAAAATAAATTTTCATAGTCATTCATATTCCATTCTTCAGTTACTACTACAGAAAATTCTTTAGAAGTATTACTCACTGTTTCTATAGGTGTATTGCGATTACTACGTAAATTATATCTTTCATTCGGTTGACGAACGTGTACAAGCACAAACAATAAAAGTATTCGTCTTCTCATCAAACTTTAGAGAGCATCGATTTCGACCCCCTCCGCTCGCAAACCTATCGACGCCTTCAGTTTAAGAGATATAACCTTCATTTTTGCGCCGTTCAAACCGCCTCCAAGCGTACAACAAAGTTACCTACCGGTTTTTTGACATTCCTTTTGGGTACTGAGATAAATCATTTTTTCTAAATCAGAGGCGAAAAAGTCGGAATTCTGCCCGTAATTCCCAATTTTCTCAATCAGAGCTCAACTTTTATGCTCGGATTTAGAAAGAACCATAGAAAACCAAGATCACGTGATACGGGAACATTGTCAAACTTCTACGCTTGTTTTTAATCGTCTATCTAATGGTGTTCGCTCACCTGAGCTGAGATAATTTAATTTTAGAAATTTAATTTAATTTAAAAATTAAAAACTTAATTTAAAAATTATTAAGAATTATATTTTTGCGCCGCGATCATAGTAAAAAACAAGAGATCCTTGTTAAAAATGTTTATCATTCAACGCTGAATCCGAATACATTATTAAAAATGTTTCGTCATGGTCCACTTTTTTAAAAACGCTTTTTACTTGACTGAGGTAGCTCAAAAACCAGGGTTTTCCAGAAAAACCCTACTTCAGAGCATTTTGGGCAAAACTTTCCGCTTAACAAATTAAAGAGCACATCGAGAAACCCTTACAAACCAAACGACAGCTCAATACGAACGGGCGTTTCGAAGATAGTTTTCACATGTGGCAGGCCTATTTCTTCTCAGGTGATTGCGTTACTATTTTTTAGAATAGAAAAGCTAGATGAAAAAAAAGAAAGCATACATCAGATAGCGCGTCGAAAGTTAGCGATAGATCAGTAACGAACTGATGAAAATTTCTTCTATTATTTTCACAAAATAAACTGAAAGCGCTTTTTGGTAACGCAATCACGCCACATTAGAGGAGGTTTGATAAAACTGTTTTAACCCTTTACGGCCGGATGTTGGCTACCGGTAACATTGCAAGACTGTTTTATGAAGAACTCTTTCAAACTAATGCTGAATATCGATCTCATATCGCGATAATTAAGGACACATATTGCGCAATTTATTCATATTTCATTAGAGATCATCATGTATTGCTTTCTCAGAATAGCCTGGTAGTGAAAAACTGAGGTCTTAGAGACGAACGTTTTCTATACTTTTGCCTTCTCTATTATTCCGCTGATTTCTCCCTAGAACATTTGACATGATTAGAAAACTCCCAAAATCGAAGAAAGATATCTGTCTCCGATTAAAAAACAATTTTTGACCTTTCTCCCATTTTTGCGACACCCCCCCCTGCTTTGAGCTCTTCGCGCCTCCACTGAATACTGGCAGTTAGTCATCGACACAGTGAGTCATATTTAACTCATAGTATGGGTATAAATTCTAAAAGGGTTCGTACCATTACATCTTTCTTCTCGAATTATGGTCATTTCATTGATTTTTAAGCCTGTTGCAGGATATTAGGGATAAACCTGTAATGAGGAATTCCACTTGAAATTCTCCCCGCCAACAGATCTCAAGTTCCTTATGACGGTCTGAAAGTTTCAGCTCAAACTCAAAATTATTATTTCCTCTTAAGATATCAGATGCCTAATAAATAGGTTATTTTCGAGACTTTTTGCCAGACAATAATGTTTTTTATACAGACATATTATCTCGGAAGAAAAACATTCGTTCGAGCTGAAACTTTCAGCATATTATTACGACTGTGTATGGGATCTATTGTTCATGGAAATTCTAAGTAGAAGTTCCTTATTGTACCTTTGTTTCTAATATCCTGCAATAGGCTGAGAACAGTCAGAGAAAAAATAAGCTGAAAATTGTATAAACTCGAAATTTCGAGTTTACATGCTGAGTTCACATTTTATTGCCCGCTGAAAATTCGTCAAAATGATCATAACTCGAGAAGAAAGAACTATTGATACGAACCCTTTTAAACTTGATATCTGTACAATGATTTCCATCTACGAGAAATATATGAACTCAAACAGTAGAAATCAGTTGAAGAGGTTCCCTCGTAAGACTCTTCATTATTGAAATAAATTCATTATCGAATGTTCAAAGATAAATGTCAATTACTCAATATCTAATAAATATATATTTTTCAATTTAGTATTCTTGTCAATTATCACAATAGTCTTCTCCAATTACTCGAAAGAGAAATAAACGAAAATGGTAATACTCTTGGTTTAGGCCCATTAAAAGATATTATCAATGAATTATCAAGAGAAATGTCTATTCTACAGATAACACAAGGAAACATGGGTGTAATTACATTGAATAAGATGGATTGTCAATGGATTGAACAATTATCTCGAGCTAGTCTTGAAAATGAAAAAGATTATTTTATAAAACTTAATACACCATTAAACTTTAATTTTCTTTATGTTCAATCGTATCTTATTCGAACATATCTTCTCTATTGTCGTATTAATTATGAACATATCAAAGGAAAATATCAATGTTATACTCAACGAAAACCTCCTATTACTACAATTAACCTTGTCGTTAATGATGGTGATGATGGCAAAATGTATCTAATTTAATTCATGTTCCTCTGAATGAAAAACTTAGCGATGAACTCGATCATATATTAAAATTATCGTTTATTTCTTCTAATGATCAAATTAGGAAAGTAGAACTTCAGGACAAAATACGAACGATAACTGAATTTTTAAATGATTTGAAAAATATAGAAAATTGTCTCAATCGTCTACGGGCTGAATCACTTACAGAAATATGTGCATTATTATACATTGAAAATTCTATTATTACAGTATTACCTAAAGAAATCAAATGTGAAAATTATGTTCCATTATGTTTAAAATTAATTGACATTACAATCTCAATTACAAGAACGAATGATTGATATTGAAGAAAAAACTATTGATCTCTGAAATGCTCGTTTTGATATTCCATATACAGATCAACCGAAGGAAAATAGTTTTAATATATTTCGAAATAAGACCGATGATGTTATGAGTCCCGATCCAAATCCAATTTTTACACCAGATCCATAATCATCTACTACCCCAAAACGAACTACTCCTATAGATCTATTTAAATTGAAAATAACGTTAATTTCATTTTCAATTCTATTTGAAAAAAATCGAATACAAGTAGAACAATTGGCATCAAAAACACAAAACACACGTTTTGCTATTACATTTAAAGATGGTAAACAAACAAAATATCATTGTAGTAAGCCTGAAAAATTCTATATGCAATTAAAAAAAATCTTTGACGAGAAAAAATATGATTTGAATACTATTGATATTATTGATCCAAATCAAATATTGGTTGACTTTATGAAAACAAATGTAAATAATTCATTACCTATTATTGAAGAAGAATATCATATTAAGGAAAAAAGATTATTAATTCGTATTATATTAGAATTTGAAAATAATCAATTGAAATATTTTGCCACATCTGAAGCAACAATTACTTCGATTCTTAGTCATTTTATTCTTGATCAACAACTGAAATTTACACCACTGGAAACTTATTTTAGTGTATTTGATTCTCTTGGGCGATACATTGCTGAGGATTGTCAAATCAATAATATTTATCAATCTGACGAACAAACATCAATTCAGATTCGAGTTTGTCGATGCAAACAAGATGCTAATATTTGCTGTGAAGTGACTCTTACTGCAGGCCAAGGTAATTGTTTCATTTAGATTATCAGCTGAAATTATCATGTTTTGTTGTTGTTTTCAGATGAAACATGAAGTCAATACTTTAATTCAACGACAACTTGGAAACAAATTGATTTATGGTTGAAAATTCTTGACATTAATGCAGAAACTCCGGCTAATAGTTACTATTTCTGGAATACAGAACAGCAACATATCATTGATGAAGATCAGACAATATCTTTGGCACTTGATCAGGCTGAATCTATCAGTGTCGATCTATTCAATGGAGAAGATGTAATAGATATAATTCTTTCCTATGATAACAATAGTCAAACAATTCGTATTTTAAAATCATGTCCAGTTCGTAGTCTTCTAAACAATCCAAAATATCTCAAACACTTAGATTTAAAAATATATCCTGAAGATTATACTCTGGTTTTTGTATTAAATGAATCAGAAAAGCAGATTCTCAGTAATTTAGATATGGAAAATCCAATTAATCACTATGCTTCAATGACTAACGAACCAATTCATTTTCAAATCTCTATTCTCATTCAAATCATTCCATATGATGATCAAAAAGAAATTCCTATTCCTATTTCTCATTGAAATATAGTAATTAAACAATTATTAGAAATGATTAAAATCAATGATGATCATATATATTTAGCATCCTACGAAACTAAAATGATCTTATCTGAGAATATTAAATTATCCACAATAAATGAAACGAAATTTTTCCTTGTGAAAGAACATCAGACATGTCTCATATCTATTGAACAATCAGACGATGCACTTGTAGCGGTTACGGAAGACAATATGCAAAATCAACGATATCTTATCAATGCCGCTATGAATGATATTTACAAACAAAATAAAAATATTGATCAAGATCGTTTAACACTTTCGGATGATTCTATTATTGATGAGGAAGACTCATTAAATGATACCGGTGAATCTATCAATGATCTACAATTGAAATTAGTTTCGACCGCTGATGCCAAATGTGCGCTTACTTATCAAGATGAAACCATTACGATTTCAGTCACAAATGAAATACTTTTATCATCGATTATGAAAGAAGCTTTAGAAAAACTCTTGATTCCATTAGATGACATCGATATGTATGAATTGAAAGTATTGGATGATCCGGATAGCCCAACTACTGTTGATCTTGATTCGTCCATCGATGAGATTCGCTCAGATTTTCACATTGAATCCGCTACGCCACCATTTCTATTAGAAAAGAAAGAAAACGAAAATTAGAATAATACAATTTGACTTTCTGTGATCTTTTAGTGATTATTTTATTGAATTTTTCAAAATAAGACTGAAATTTTTTACTGAAAAATATTATTTAATTATTATTTGGTGCTATTTCTTTTTATTCTTAAAATGATTTCTCCGAAGAATCGAAATAATGCAAGTACTGCTAGTTGGAAACACAGAATTTTGACCCAACAAATGTTCAGTTTGGGCCCAAATAGAAAACCTTTTGAGACTCCCGGCTCGAACCGCAATTCATGTAACCTGTGCTTGTGATATACTACGATAACATCGAGATGTAGATAAAGAGTGATAGAACACTAAGTAGCACAATGAAATATCATTGATGAAAGTATATCGGTTTCTATTTCTTAATCATCGAAAGTCAATGAATATTTTCATGCCACGCACGCAAAACCTGTAGTGTTTCACAAATTCTGAAACGATTTTAAAATGCATCGTTCTCGCATTCAAGAAAATCAAACTCTGAAACTTTGGCCAATTATTGGACATGTATAGTACTACACAAGTCATGTAAGTAGTGTGGCTGGATGGGTGAGTGTGGGTGTTGGTATTCATTTTTACCAATCAAACCCAACCCCGACTCACCCACGTAATGCTTGACGAATTGTTGGCATCAAATTGGAATCGAATGACCATTATAAATCGATCCATTTGAGTAAAACAAACTAGATTTGAACAAATGTCGAATCGATCATATGGTATAAGTTGATGAAATTTTTTCTTGCCATCATTATTGGAAATATGTTTCGGCACGTGTAGATGACCAAACCAGAACACTATCAAGATTTTGACCAAAATGTAAATGACTTTTTTAAATTTCAGTAAATGAACTACTATGAAAAATATTGAAAGCATTCAATCTATCTTTGAAATTCGATAACGGGTATAAGAATTGAACGACTTTAGTTCAACAACATATTTTGTTGAATCGTTTGATGAAGATTATCGTCGAAAATAATTCGATGAACGTATCGGTGTTACACGCAATAGGAATAAGGTGCGGGAAAGTCGAAAGATGACCACTATTTTGTTTTCGACTGAATCATACATCATTGGAAAGAGCGTGTCAAACTGAATAAGCAAACGTTGGTTCCAGCTTTTTGAATCATATTTTTTAGGTCAATACGGCTTTAAATCCGGAGCACCTCATTTTCCGAAAAATATCTATTTTGAGAGTGGATGGATGTGAGTAAGAGTGGATGTGGCATAAATTGGCGTACACCCACTCACACCCACACCCTGCTGCTTTATCCTGTATCCACTGAAACTTACAGACCATTGAAAAAGAAATTGGTTCTACTTCTCAATCCTTCTTCTATCCTATTTTCTCGCATAAACAACACTGGTCCTCATTATTTATTGACATTACAATGGCCTTGCGTTATTTTCAGATTAAATATTGACACATTTCAGAATGTGCTGGAATCATTGAAAAGCACAACAAAGTATTCGTCAACGGTATGATATCTCGTTCACCGACGCTGCGTCTAGGTATACCTGATAAAATTGCCAAAGCTACAGTCCTTCTTGCTTTAGATGGTAGCAGCGATATCACAGGTATCGAACTATTTGTCGATGGTGGCTTAGCACAAATTTGAAACACTTATTTTATCTACTTAAAATTACTCGAATACGAAACTTTGTTTGAAATTCAGGTTCATTGTGGAATGGAGCATTTTATTTATTGTAATTTTCTAGCTTTCAGTACGAAGTTATCGACAGCATATGCTGTATTAATCAAAATAAAATGCTTAATCTCCTTATTAATTTTTAAAAATGATTTTGTATTTTTATAATAGTTGTAAATATGATTTTATGTTAGTTCTATGAGAATATCACGAAAAAAAAAAGAAATATGTTTGTTCAATATTTAAGTTCGATATCTCAATAGTGCAATCCATTGATTATTGTATAGTTCTCGACAAGCTGTTTCCCACTCCATAATCATATCTTCATCTAGTCGTTGTATGGGTTCATATTGTCGTCGTTGTTGGTGGTGGTGTTGTAGTCTTTGATTTTCAGAACTGAAACCATGTTTACCTTTTTTATATCCACCTATTGCTCCACCAGCTTGTAGAGTAGCACCACAATAAATCCATTTAAATTTCGTTTTTTGTCGTTCGAGTTCTTCTCGTCGATCAGGATCATTAATAACATCGGATTCAATTTTGCTCAGAAATAATATTGCTTCGGATAAACTGTGATAGGCCAAATCAGCAGCTGCATTATCATAAATAAAACCATCATGATGAGTGCAAGATCCTTTAAAAGAAACGAAAATAAAATATGTACATTGAAATATTTTTGCATTTTCGTTATTTTGACAATTCAACAAAATAAAACAGAAAAATTTGTAATCTACCCACCCATTTTGTTTTCATTTTCAATATAAAAATCTTTACATTTAACACATTGAATAAAATCTTCATTTTTTCGTCGGTCATCTTCATCTTTATCTTCTTCTTTTCTTGTTCGAGCAAAACCTACATCATTACAAAATTGACGTAATAAAAATTCTTGACGTGTAACTGCAACACCCCATTTTTCAACACGCTGAGCATCATTCGTTGATCTTGCTGTTTCAACAACAGCTTCACGAAATCTTGCTCGAACATATGTATAAATATTTTGATTGACAATAGAAAGACTTGAAGATGGACCCATTGAACCATTTGATTCACTTTTATTAACAGCAATTAATGGATCTAAATCATAGACAATTAATGAACGATTATATGCAACACATCCATCATAACGTTCTTTCAATGTTTCAAATATTTTCTTTTCACCATAAGCACTTTGTGATGATAATAAATTTAGATCAATCAATTGTAACAATTGTACATTTCGATCTCCTCCATATCGAGTTATGCGATCAAGAAGTTGTTGTAAATTTGTTTCATTTTCATTGAGTTTATGCTCGATAATTGTATTTAGTTGATGTAATTGATTATTACATGCTTCTATTCGGACAGATCGATCAGATAAACTGATAAGTATTCGACCCGTATAAGTAACAGCTGGATTTCGTTGATCATCTTCTAAATGTTGCACTGGTTCTAAGTTATTTGATGATTTTCGATTTGTTACAGTTAAATTACGTAAGAGTAAACGTGGTAATGTATCACTACCGAGTGAAATTTGATATTGTTTCGCTGTTTTATCAGCTAATTCAAGAACTTCAGCATGTGTCATTTTATAAGCTGGCTCTTTGCGTTGTTTGACCATTGAATAGACGGTTATTGTTCGACTGAGTGTACTGAAATAAAAGATGAATTCATGAAAACTGATGATATGAAATACATTGACTTGAATCAATATTGTAACCTTTTAAACCTCTGCTTGTTGAGTAAAGAAAATAAATATAGCTCAATATGAACATTTCGGATTTGATTCGATGCACAATAATGCATACAATACTTTTTTAAATTATCTAAGATTATTTTGATGAAATAAATTGATTCTAAACAATAATCTTATCAATGCGTTTTGCTTATTAGTCGAATAAAATGTAAATTGGAACTACGTATTTCTATTAGTTCAAAGTTGGTTTTTGTTTTTTTGTCTAATGTCTACTTGAATGTATATTCTATGCCTACTGTATTCCATTTGAATGACAATTGTGATTTTGCATGCAACATAAACTGATATTTAAGGTTCGATTTTACAGAGATGTCCCAATACCGATACACCGGGTAACGGCAGCGACAGGTCACAATACCCATTGGATACTCATCTCGATACCCATCAGCACTGCATCACAGACCAACTATGTCTCGGAAGTTGAGAAATTTGAGGTAATTTGGGGTATCCATCTCGATACCCGTCATTATTGCGGGTACGGCTGCGGGTGTGGGTGCTGATGTGCGTGCGGGTGTGGATGCGGGTATCCATCCCGATACCCCAAATTCCCTCAAACTCTTCACCTTCTGTGAAGATATAGCTGGTGTATTCGGTACCGATAGCGGGTATCCATCTCGATACCCCAAATTACTTCAAATTTCTCAGCTTCTGAGGAGATATAGTTCGGGTAATTCCGTTTATTGAAGTGGATACCGGGTGTATTGGGGTTATGACATCCCTCCGATTTAAATAATCTGATAGATAATACTGTTATTGTTTTTTTCTCTAAGACACAATTCATCTTCTATTTTTTGTTTGGTTAGATAATAAACATACCCGATCGCTGCTCCACTAAAATTTGTTGTAACAATGCTCAGTTCTTTTGTCACATCTGGTTCCACAGCCCAATCTGGGATGTGCGAAAGAATATTTCGTCGCGCTTCTAATGATGGTCGACCAACAAAAAATTTACCCGACGTACGTCTTAGAAATGCTTCATCCATCATATGTAAACGATTTGTCGCACAGAATATCATCAAATTTGGAATATCTTTAATGCCGTCAATAAGACCAAGTAGAACACTAATCTTATCAACTTTTCCTTCTGATGAATCTTCTTTACGTTTCGGTGCTAGAGAATCGATTTCATCAATCGATACATAACATTGTGTATATGGTATGCGATTACAACGTGTACATAAAGCAATAATAATACGTTCAGATTCACCAACAAATGGACGATTTAATTCACCGGCAGCTAGTGGTGGACCAACCATTTGTATACCAATTTTAGTTGCCGATTTACTCATTATTTCTGATTTACCCGCACCTGAAAAGAGTTAAACAAAATTCGAAACGATGAAATATTCTATTTGATTAAATAGTTTTGATTTTACCTGGTGGACCAAACATAATAAAACCTCGATGTGGTTTTACCAATTTTTTCTGAACGACTTTTTGTTTTTTATTCAAATAGAATTCGATATTTTTCAATTTATTTCGTTTTTCAGCTAATTGTCTTTCATAATCTTTAACAGCCGGATTAATAGAATCTTTCAATTCTTAAATTTCATTCATGTTGCGTTCTGATGTTCGCTCTTGTTCTTTCCATTCTACAGATAATTGATACATCA